AAAAAAAAAAAAAAAAAAAAAAAAAAAAAAAAAAAAAAAAAAAAAAAAATACTCATTAGAAAGACAGTTATTATATATAGTCTTGAATCTTTTGAGACAATAACACTAAATAACTGTTGCTTGGGAGTACTAGCAAAGATTGTACAGTTTTTTAAAGAGAACTGATGAATAAATAATGAAGAAGCGATGTCAGACGTACCGCAACCAAAGGCAAACAGCACGAGGGTGTAGATGAAGAAGAACTTGATGATGTCGATGATCATGCGGCCGAGGGATATCTGGAGCGGCCCTAGATGCGGATTGACGCTGAATATGTGCACGAGTTTGAGGAAACTGAATATCATGGCGGCGCCGAAGGCACCCTCGCTCAGCAACATCGGCTCAAAGTCGTGCCAGTGATCGCGGGGGTACCACGGGTCCTCGCCCGACCAGTACTCCCGCTGTTTATCCCGCATTTCATTAACACGTGACGTGACCTTTTTTCATTCAAACAAGCGAGCAAGCACTCACCATAACCACGAACCACGAGGAGGCCCTCATGCACAGCCATATGACGTAAAAGACGTTCTGGATAAAGTCGACAATGTTCCACAGGTCCGACACGTACTCGAGCAGACCACCTGACCACAGGGACCGTATCTCGCCGATCACCAGACCTTAAGGAAAGGGGGATTGGGAGGATTAAACAGAGTACAAGTATCGGCGTATGTACTTTTGCATGTCACTTTAACGCACTGATGACGTATATGACGACGCCGGACTCGACGAGGCCTGGCAGGGAGCCGCGCTCCCGGCGCTTCCAGCCCGCGAGGATTTCCTTCAGCCAGTCGTTGCCGAAGAGCTCGATCGCGAGGTACTCGATCCGCTGGGAGGCTGCGCCGAGCAACACTATGGACAATCCAAAAGTTTTTTTTCCCCCCTTCTCATGATTGTGAAAAAAAAAAAAAAAAAAGTACCACGCAAAATGTCACTTTATCGTGTCCGACCGTACTCGGCTTTATCTACTTTGGACGAGGGTATGTATACGTGAAACGTTTCGTTGTCGCGAGCAGTGCTTGGAAGATGAGGAGAAAAAAAAAAGCCCGTCATCCGTAAAGCAATCGATGGTTGACGAGATTCGGAGCAACAACAATGGAATGGATGGTATACAGAGACGTATTTTTTCCGATACTCTTCGGGGGGAAAGGGGGAAAGTTTGGCGCTGCTGCCAGTCATACACTTTAATGGTTTTCCATCACGAGCGAATGCATAATTAAGACCCGCGCGAACGAATAAATTTCCCATTGATCATAAATCACGTTTTTCTATTCCCCCCCCCCAAACCCAATGACCCTCGTGTGGAGACGAGACAAAAGGGGTGCGTATGTAAAATAAGAGTCCCTCACTGAGAAAGAAGGCGTAAGAGGACGAGTGGATGATGAACTTGACGAAGGGCTTCTTGACGAAGAGGGCCTTGGGCGAGTTGGGGGCCATCATGTATATGGTGCTGTAGACGGGAAACTGGGCCCCGAGTTTGCCGACCTCGACCAACTGGGCGATCATGCTGAGCCGTCGAAAACCCGGTAGCCCGTCGTACCAGATCTTGGCCAACAGTTGCTGGACGTTGGGGTGGGCCACGAATTGCTTTTGCTTGTACTTGATGGCGAGCTTCAGTCGCTCGAGGGTCTGGCGCTCCCCCGGTTCCCAGTTGTCGCCCGTTGGGTTGTAGTTGAGCATTATCTCGAGCTCGTTCGACGTCCGGGCGTGGTCCAGCAGCGACGTCGCGAACTGCATCACGTTCTCCCGCATCTCCTATGGGTGTGTGAACAATGTTTTTATTTTTTTATTTTTTTTTTTAGGTATACAATGTCTCCGAGCATGGCAGCGTGCCCCTAATGATCGACCGCCCCATTTTTCGTTGCTCGTACAAGACTGCGGGAGCGACAAAAGCGCGCGTGTATGTGCTCGTAATTTTTTTCGTTTCCCGCGCATTTGTACGCGGCAAATTGAATTAAACGGCTCGGCTTATCCGATAATCAACAACCCGATGAGCCCCGTTTCATTGCTACCTGGCCCCGGCGTAATCCAACTAATCCAGAGAAATCGTGCCACCTACACGTACGCGTGTCGCGTGCGCGGGGCCAGGGTGACGCGCTACGTACATGTATAGGTATGCCATAAATCCCCGACACCCACGTCTTCGCGCGCGACATTTCTATCCCTCCCGAGGGCTAACGCTGACGAATCCTTTGCAATTACCTTGGAAATTATTGTTATTATTATTTTATATACGATTATCACTATCATTTTTATCATCATTATCATAATTATCAGTATTACCTTTATCGACGTTATTATCATTATTATTTTTATAATTGGTATCATTGATATTATTATTATCGTTATTAACATTATCATCATCAGTAAAATTATTCTTAGAATTATCATTATCATCATCATCATTATTATTATTACCATTATCATTATTACCTTAATCAACGATATTTTTATTATGATTGTAAGGAACACTTTTAGTATAATTATTATTATCATCATANACACACACACACACACATACACTCTATCCCTCTTTTTCATTTTCGCTGTATACGTACCCTATACATGTATGTATAAGTACAACTCGCGAAAACGGATGTGATCATGATACTTTTATCACGTAGAGACGCGTGTATATATAATATATATACGTGTGTGTTTACATCTTTCGTTTGTTTGTTTTTTTTTTTTCCGTCCTCGCGTGATTTCATCTAATTGTCCCTTTGGTCTTTGTGTAAAATCGGTTTAGCCGCAATTTGGATGTTGAAAAGCAACTCCATACCACCGAGACACTTCGAGTCCATAATGTCGCGCGGGAATCAACCACTCGGGTGTACACATTTGTACAGTAAATAGCCACGCGCGTCGAGGGAGAGGAAAAAAAAAAAAGAAGAAAAAAAGGGAAGAGTACCTCGTACTCGGACCTGAACTCCTGCTCGAGGCGGCTGAGCCTCCTGAGCTCCCAGGACAGCTCGAAGGCGGTGAGTAGGGGGTCCCTGGAGGAGAGGGCTATGAGGGAGGAGGACGACAGGGCCCTGTACGCGTTGATCCGCGACTGGGAGTGCCGCAGCGAGTCCTGCTCGCTCGAGTTGACGCAGTCGTCGCAGCCGCAGCGCACGTCGTGGGGCGTCGGCAGAGTCGCGCCCCGGTCCAGCAGGATCTTCAGGATCTCGTAGTTGTTCATGTGGGCCGCGAGGATCAAGGGCGTTATGTCCGGGGTGAAGTTGGACGCCGACCTGTCGACCGCCTCCCAGCTCTGAAAATACGTGTTTTATTATTTACCCCTTCTAAATTTGAAATTCTTGGTGATAATTATACAACTTTTTCTATATAGTGCATGTACACCGTTAAATATTCACTACTTCTACCAAGTTGACGTTTCACTATTTAAATTAGTTGGTTAACTTATTCCTGATATACCACTCGAAATAATCTGTGTGGGATGTACAATTTCCGTCATTCGAGTGGAGATCGTTAGCTGGATTACCGATAAATATTTAGAGTTAAAATTTATAACGATTGGGCGCGAATAATCTATCCTAATTTTCCACTATACCACCAGTGAAAATGTTGTTCACTTTCGTTCAAATTTAGATAGTATATATATGTTGAAAGCCACGAGTAGTAAAAGCCGCGTGCTGGTAAGACGCGTTTGATAGTGGTGTATCTGGTACTTGTGAGGAATTCTCCTTTCATTTTTAACTTTTCAGGGTACCCAAAAGTGCCAAATATAAATTTTAAGCTAAATGATTTTTTTTTTTTTATTGTTGGTAACCCATAAAGTAAAAAAATTCCAAGAACACGCAATTCAGGTCTTTGCACATTTTTTTTCAGCATTAAATGTAAAATAATATTAATTTTCGTTAAAACAATGGACGTATTTTTATCTTTCGGGCTGATTATCGTTTAAATGTACGTACAAAAAATAGGCGAAACATCTTGCCCACCATTTTCGAGGTTGCTCTTTTTAAGAAGTAAATTTTTTTCACCCCAGACCATATTTACGCACTGTACTATAGGGAAATATTATGAAGTATCCGAGAAATGCTTAAAATATGGAAAAAAAATAAGAAAATTGGTGTTTCTTAATTTTATATTGGCAAAAAAATATGGTAACGAACGGGATATTAACAAAATGAAAACTGCACCATTAAAAAGAGCGAGCTTGAAAATTATGGGAAAGATGTTTAGCCTTTTTTTTGTACGGACATTTACACGATGATTAGTTCGAAAGATGAAAATACGTCTATTGTTTTAATGAAAATTGATATTATTATTATACATTTAACGCTGAAAAAATGTGCAAAAACCTGAATTGCGTATTCTTGGAATTTTTTTACTTTATGGGTTACCACCAATAAAAAAAAATCATTAAAGAGGTGTAGCTTAAAATTTGAATTTGGCACTTTTGGGTACCCTGAAAAATGAAAAATGAAAGGAGAATAAATTCCTCTTATACGTGTGGACGCGCATATTGGGATCATTTGAAACGAGATCGCGAGACAGTTGAAGGCTCATCCGATTTGAGTGGCTGCACTTTAAGAGAGAGAGAAACCCCGCCAGGCGGGCGCGTGCCATCGAAATCGAATAAAACCACCTTTGCATGTGTAAAACGTGCGCGTAACGGTGAGTGAATCACGCCTCTCTTTGACAACACGTTGTTGCGTAATAATTCATCGGAAAGGCGCGATCGGTGAGGGGGGGGGGGGAGCGTATTATCGCCGCGGCTGTATTACAGTCGACGCGCTAAAGTTGGCGAGGAGGATGAGAGGCGTGTGAAACGTGAGCTGTTATAAACGCGAGACGTCTGATGTAGACGTGTATATATGTATATACATGTACAGGGGACTCGGCTTTCCAATATCTGCGTGTATATATACACGAATACTTACCCTTGCCTACTGCCTATAGGACTAGGAGTCTCAAAGACGCACACATGCACACCAGTATTTTGTGTGCACATCCATACGAGTATATATAATATAGAATACGTGAGTCTCATCACGTTGCAGGTTGCGGGAGATTATAACTGCATTAGGTTAACTGAATTAAAAATTGAATTTTCAACAAAAGTTGATGTAAGCGTGCACGGTGTGTCGCATGAGCTTCTTTTCGAATGGATGGGTGTATATTTAGCGCGCACTTTGGCGAAAGATGAAAAGAAAAAGACAAAGTGTTTAATTCAATTATATTGCCCTATTTTTTTTTTTTTTTTTTTTTCAATAAAGTATCCCTACGTGTTTTAATATGTCAATTGTATCAACGTATTTTGTACAAAGTAGAAGGTGTACGCTGCTTTTTCTTTTGTTGTTAAAAATCACTCGATAGCAATATAGTGAGTAGCATTATTTGGAAGTTTGACCAGAATTACGATAAAATAGCTTTATATGTGCCCAATTTATAGATAGGTATACTATGTAATATTGTTTTTAATAAAACAAAAATCAGCTTCGACATCTTCAACGTTTTGAATCTGCTGATATATTTGGTGGTACGCGTGTACTCTTCTAGGACTGTAACAATGAGCCGCCTTTTTAAGTATATACCATCGCCATAATCTTTGAAAAAAAAAAAAAAAAAAATCAATTTCTCACGAATTCGAAAAAAATACGGTATACAAAGTCACTACTTGGTTGAGGGTGTATTTTTATGTGCAGTAAAGTGATGAAAAGTATAGGTATGTACGTTGTCTCGAGTTGTCGAGGCTCTACGGGCTGTCACGACTTACGTATGGTTGTCCGGGCTGATGTATTTTCTCCTCGTGCTCCAGCAGTACCTCCACCGCCTCGACGTACTCCTCCTTGATGGCGTGCAACAGGGAATCCTGCGAAAGAATACCAGTGCGCATCCCCCCGTTAGCAGCCGAATAATCAAAATAAAAGTGCAAAAGATCGGCGTTTCTCCCCTTGAAAACGCGTGCGGGGCATTGAGATCCCATGAAAATCCCATGAAAAAAGGAAGAAACGTACAAATGATCCAAAAAAAAGGGGGGGGGGGGAAAGAAACACGACAGCGTCCCCGAAAAATGTGTGTCATTGCCACGATGGTCATCGTCATAAATGTACAAGGAAAATGGAAAAAAAAAAAAAAAAGAAAAAAAAAATCGATCATCAGTACATACACACGCGCGAAGAAGAAAGTTGCGAGAGCAGCTCGGCTGCTTGAAAGGATTCACCCCCCGGCCTACCTTGACTTGAATCCCCATCTCGAGGAGCAGCATTATGAGGTCGTAGTTCTCGTTCTCGATGGCGGCAATCAGGGCCGACCTGTTAAGCGGATCGACGCAGTTGATGTTCAGCTGGTCCGGCCGGTCCTTGTTCTCCTCCAAGAGCCGCTTGACCGTGGCGCAGTCGCCCCGCTCGGCGCTCAGCAAAAAGTGCTTCTCCACGGGCCCGAGGATATACTCCCCGGCGGGGCCGAGGGGGGCGTCGTTGGGCACCGACCCGTTTCGCCCCATCGCCGCCTCGTTCTTTATCAAGTTCTGCTGCGACTCGGACGGGTTCATCGCGGCTCGGAACTACCCCTTTTTTTTGTCACTGTCCCTCTCTCTCTCTCTCTGCGTTACTCTGGCCCACCCTCGAGTCCCGGCGCTCCGGGCATGCTCATACATACAAGTGCCCTCGGGGTGCGCTCGCGGGAACGGCCAGCGCACGACTGCCGGTGGCTGGCACCTCGCGGGGGAGGCCTACTTTTTCCCCACCGAGCTGAATCCTTAGAACCGGCGCCTCTGGGCTCGGGTGCATGCACGACGATTATACGCTCGCCCTCGGTGGATTGGGCACACGCCGAGCCGACTTGTCTCCTCTCGCTTGTAGACACGTGATGCCCGGGGCTCTCAATTATACCTGTATATACTGTACCTCGGTGGTTTTACTCTCGCGAGCCATTGTTGATGCCCGTAACGTTGGCTTTTCTGTCCTCTCCTTTTTTTTTTATTTTTTTTTTTGCCGTGCGCTGGGGTGTGACGGATATTTATTGTTATTGTTTTCTTTTCTGTTTCTTCTTACGAGTGGAGAGGAAAAGCTTGAAATACCACGCTATGAAGGGTTGGGAGAGTACACTCGGTTGATGTTCATCCTTTCTTTAATCTGGATGAACTGGGGAGGGGGGGGGGGAATGCAAAACACACACGGACGACGTTTGGTGAAAAAATTAAAATTTATTGTATTAAAAAATCAACAACAGAGGAATGGGTAAACAATGAAATTTGGATTTTTATCATACGTTCTTTAGCGTTTGTGTTTGGGTGTGCGAGGTGGCGCAAACAATATTAATTGATAGCCGATATATCGTACAGAGTTGTTGTGTTTTTCCACATAAATGCCGATACACTGCTATATACTCCCACATATAGAGCCCGTAGCGTTGATGTTTAAGCATATTTGCCGTGAGTGCAATACATACAATAATTATATTAGGTTTATCATTACATAATAATATCGTTTTTAGTAGCAGCAGCGGTGGTGGGTATAGGTATACATATTAAACGGGTTTCATCTTTAGCGTTTCAATTTTATTATTATACATCTCGATGTGCACTGTTACATCGTATTGTAATTAACAATCGTTATTATCGTAATCGTTATTATTAATATACACACATAAATAGTGTACCTACATGCGGTGCATTTTTTTTTTCTTTTTTTCCCCAATCGTCTCGAACACGGCAACATAGCCTCCTCCTTCTTCTTCGTGTACAATGTAACGTAGCATTTTGGATTATATGCATAAAAAAAACAAACTACAGCCGATACAGCAAAACTCATCAATGGTCATGTATAATGTAAGAGGCAGATAATATGCAATACATGGTGATTATTCGATGGGTGTCAGTCTTTGATAGAGTGTAACATCAGCTCCCTCGGATGAGTATAACATTTTCGTCGCAACACTTGCGGAATAGAAAAAGAAAAGAAAAACCGGCGAGGGTGAAAGCACAAAGGGGCCACTAGACGAAATCGGGCACGGTCGGGTGGAGCGGGGCGTCCCTGCACATCTCCCGTATGATCCGGTCCTCGGCCGAGCTCGGAGCCTCCAGGTCCTCCTGGCTCTTGTTGGCACAGACCAAGGCGAGCCTCGCCAAGCGTTGCATCCTCTCCTGCCTGAGTCTCGCCAGCCGGTTGTTCAGCTCGTCCCTCTTGAGCAGCAGCTCCTCCTTGCCCGCCCCGCCCCGCCCGTACCTTATTATTATGTCCGAGCGCGTGTGCGGCTGGCTCACGGCTATGTCCCTCCCGTACCTGATGAACGACGAGCCCATGCCGCTGCTCCGACCCTCCCGAGGCTCCAGCACCAACTGCCCCTGCTGCTGCTGCGGCTGACCCCCGGTGAAGCGCAGGGCGTAGGGCAGGGGCCCAAACTCCAGGCCTGCCCTTGGGGACCCCTCGTCGCTGGTGGCTGCTCCTCCCCGCGCTCCCGGGGCTCCCTGGCACTCGTGCAGCGCCACCACCACCAGGATCCACAGCAGCCGAGCCATGTGTCTACCACCTGCTCCTACGAACACCCGTGCAAGATTTCGAATATATAAATATTGGGGGTGGTGGGGGGTTTGACGGGTCGAGCCCTTGTTCTCCCCGCGCCCTTGGGCAAGCTTCCGAGTGTTGTACGGTATAATAACTCAGCGATCCGTGAATTCGACGAGTCAAAGGCCCATCGGCCCGTGAAATTCATTCAAACAGCCTCGACGTCCGAATTCCCAGACGCGCGTGTCATTCGTTCGCTCGCGCTTTTGCACATATGCGAGCGTGGGTGTTTTTTTATTTTTCTTTCCCCCCCCCCCCCCNCCCCCCCCCCCCCCGTCTTCCGTTGTTTTCGCCCCGGGAGGAAGTCGAGATCGAACGACCAACGGCTACTACACTTTTGAGGCGTGGAATCGAAATTTCTGTTTTTTTTTTTTTTTTTTTACAAAATGGTCCAAATCGATGCTCCGTACACCATGTCACATATTCTATTCAACTAACATATTTTTTTTTTTTTTTTTCCATCAACGATCGATATAAGAAGGCTGTAGAGAGTAAAACATTTCTGTTATAGATTTTACACGCTTGTAAGCGTGATCTTTCCCCATAAAAAATTGTTCAATTTAACGGAACTGGTTAACGACTTGGTGCACCATAGATTTGGTTGTTCTTCAAATTCTCATAAACGCAACTGCGATGTATTTTACGAAAGAACGCATTTTACACGGTTGGATGTGCAGTGTAAAGCTGCAGAGCGATGGGCGCAAGGACGGGCAAATGAAAACAGACGAGATGTTTTGTCGTATGGGTATACACACGCGTGTAATTACCTTTGGAGCTGGGCTAATTTGTTTTCGTCGCGCGTTAATTGCCCGACCGGAGTTTCCGGAGGGGGTGGCGCGTCTTCGGGGGACACCCAAGGTCCGGCTCTTTCGAACGAGACGCGTGTGGCGTTTGTTGCACGCGCCCTCACAAAGTTGACGAATGGCCGTTGGAAAGGAGGGAGGGACAAAAAGGGCTCTCGCTCGATTGATCCGATGCGATCGAGTTTACAACACGAGAGATTTCGTGTACTTGAGTGGGAGCGAAGGAAGAAAGAAAGAAAAGCGGCTATATGTGTACGTTGTTTGCCATCTCAAATCCGAAAGTATACGGCGAGCGGGTAATCCTTTGGTAAATAATGATAAAAACAAACGAGGAGAAGGTGGAAAAACTCCCCGGTGCCACGAGCCTTTAATTCGATTTATTTCCCTGTACCGAATGTTACACCCTCTTCCTGCAAACACACGCACGGACTTTTAATTACCTCCAACTTGGATTGTTTCACCCCCCCCCCCCGGAAACTCGTCCGCGTAAATTCGTTTAACATACCATTAGTCTTATACCTTGTTGAATTTACTTTGGGGTTTTTGACGCGAGAAGGTAAAAACAATGGCTCGCAGTGCACGGACGAAGCTTCATTTTGATTTGATAAGGGAAAAAAGCAATGTAAACTGCTTGAAAATAGAAGAAAAAAAAAAGAAAAAAAAAAAAAAGTCGATTACTCTTGTGCGCGGTTTCTTGAAAACTTTGCGAATTTATGCACTTTCCGATATGCGATCCGGTGAATACCAAGCGCGCGAGCCTCGGAGACTGGAAAATTTTTAATTTCACTCCGGGTAGGACACTTGGACGTCGTCAAAGCACCCTTTTTTGAATATGTTTTCACAAGTTTGATCGTGTAGATGATGCGCTTCGGAAAAATCGGCCGTTTTCCCGAAGATAATCGAGGAACCGCGCAATACCAGTGACGGAAGGAAAAGAAAAAAAAAAACTCTTACCTTCGAAGGCAAAGTTGAGCGACTTCCGGAGGTAATCGGGCCCCTCCTCTCTTCCGACAGTGGCACTGGTAATACGACGGAACGAAGGGGCGATCGGGCGATGCACACAGACGAAAGCAAATAGAAAAAAAAAACGTCCCGGGCAAATGTTGGGCACAGTGCTCGGTTGGACCAGCGCGTTGAAAATGAACGGACAGCGGGCAGGGGCGAGAGCTTTATATCGCCCGAGGTCCCAAGCTCCTCCCCCCCCCCTCTCCATACGTGTACGCAGCATCCGGCGGTGCCGCGACGTACACAGGGATGACCGGCCGTGGGCTGCCTACCCGCCCCGACTCGGACACCCAAGAACCCCATACGTGCTCTTGTGGTAGCCCTCCACCCTCCACACACACGTATACGAGCGCTTGTGCGTCGCAGGCGATATATTATCGGTGTCATTATATCCCGCGCTCCGAGTGCACCCACGTATACGCCTCAGCTGCTAAGTACACGCGTACCTTACACCTTTCGTTATTTACGAGGTCGCGCGCACGCACCGGCCGTGTGCGACGCATTAGTGTTTTTTTCAATAATTTTCCGCGCTATGCGCTTGCAGCTTCCGATTCCCATGCGCGATGTCGCTATCGAGCCCAGGGCGCGTGAAGGGCCATTGAAAAGAGTAATCAAGGGAAGGGCGGAGCATCGAGAATCGGCGTCCTTCACCTGCCTGCACCATTGCCATACCTCTTCGCGCGAGGTTGTAACTCGATGACTTGCTTATACGTGCAAGTCTATGGGCGCCTTGTGGTGCACGCGCTCGTATAGTGTTTATACCCAACGCATGGGTATATGATGTATGGGGCACGCGCGAAACCGTACACCCGGCGAACTATATGTGATGGGCAGATACTTGTGTATGGTGGTGGCTGGAGGTTTCTTTTAAGAGGAGTGATGATACAGGTACGATGGTCTTTGATTCGGAGGTTCGAGGACCATTGTTGCCATTTTGTGTCGATGGTGCTTAACTGTCTTTGTTTAACAACTGGTGAGGATGCATTTTTTTTTCTCATTTGCACCAAAGCATGCAGGGCATATAATTGTCCACCCACGTTTTTTTTTTTTTTTTTTTTTGCCGAAACATTCGGGGGCGTGAATCTTTACTTTCACAGGAGACGATTGATATCAAACTACATACCCCTTGATGTGTGAAAAAAAAAAGTCAAAAAGTAACGAGCCCAGGGCTATGGATTGCAGTATATCGCTTGTCTGGCCATAATCGACTCGATCTACTGAATTTTCGTAAACACGAATATATGTAATAGGAACGCGTCGGCAGAGCTTGCAGCTTGTTGCTTTCACTTGATTTTAAGTAAAAAGGAAGGTATAGCGCAAAAGGTAGTTGAATGACAATACTACTTGGTTTGGTGTTGGTTAAAGTACGAGTACTCGAGGCTGTACTAATAAACAAAACAAAACTTTTTTTTTACATTTTGATTTCGTAACTTTGCATGGCAACGTATAACAATGCACAAGGAGAAATACGATTTTCATTGCCAGTACTTAAATGAAGGATTCTGAAATTCGTTGAACAGTATTTTTATTTATCAAATTTACCTAACCCTTTAGGTTTGTTAAAGGTAATTTTTAAGGGGATTCAATTTCCACTTATAATATCTTACATTATTTTTATTTATTTATTTATTTTTTTTTTTTTTCAAAAAAGAGTAACATTAATTACCTCTCTGGGCGTAATTGAGGCTCCATTTTTTCACCTAAAATCAAGAAAATCCCCCTTTTTATCTGAAAAAAAATGAAAACCGACGAATAATGATTCTTTCAAACATTTATTTACTATTACTCTAAAAAAACAAACGAAGCTATCAGAAAAACATCCCCGCCACCCCCCCCCCTGCGTGACCAACTATGTCTGACTTAAAAGGCTGTTTATCACTTTTAGCGAGCCAAAGCCCTCGTCACGCGTTACACGATTCATTCAACTCTCCCCGAGCACGTGTACCCATTATTTCTCTGCTGACTGCATCAGTCCTTCCCCGAAAAGATTAGCGCAGTTCGAGGAAAAAAAATTCTCACCCCCACGCACGAAAAAAAAAAAAAAAAAAAAAAAAAAAAAAAAAAAAAAAAAAAAAAAAAAAAGAAATCGTACCACCAGTTAGTAACACCGTGATGATGAACTCGAACCGGGTCACCGAAGGGCTAAAAATAAACCGGTTGGCGAGTGAAATTTCAACGGGGGCCGCGAGCAAAGTTATCGAAAAACGACGACGATTGATCGCCCGCGCATCGGATGCCTACTTGGTTTCCTCTTTGAGCTACTCTCGCGTACCACGTTCCGCGCGCGTATCTTTGCCTCGAGTCGATTCCCCAGATGATACCACTGTGCGTGTGTGTGTACGTACATGTGTGAATCGGGGGCAGGGAATGGAAAAAAAGGAGGAAAAAAATTACGTTCATAAGCCCGTGTACGCGCAACAATCGGCGACTTAGCTTGAAAAATGCGCGTGTACTGCCACACTCGGGTATGGCTTCCATTGTTGGGGCACAAAAGAGTTGCTGCCGCTACGGTGACATTTATGTCCGCGACTCCGTATGTACACTTGTGCCGTTGCTTCAGATATTAATGAACTTACCTCCCCCCAACACCCGTTTTATCAAAGGTGTACGTGGTGGAGAAGGAGTGGGATGAAAGGACACGAGTTTATTTTATTTATTTCGATGTTGTCGTTGGCGGAAATCAATGAGTGTTTTTTGTATATATATATTACATCCGTTACTTTTTATTTTTCATACCTACAAATGCTACATTCATCATATAACTAAGTGGATTTTTGATTCACCGAGTGAAGAGGATTTTTTTTTTTTTTTTTTTTTTTTTTTTTTTTTTTTTTTTTTTTTTTTTTTTTTTTTTTTTTTTTCGAGTATACAAACATGTCCTTACGTAGCTCTTGAATTTTACATGATACTAAGTGTATATACCTAAAAGTAATAAATATCGACGACTGGCAGGAAAAAATATGACGTATCGAGTTATCTAGCGTCACCACTTCCGCCCTGTTCAAGACATATATTTTAGTTTATACTTTTTACCGTCCAGGGAAGATTTAGTCAATAATCACCGAAACAGAGTTTGCGAAAAAGTGCAGCAATTTGAGATAGCGCTTTTCCTTCCTCGAGCCGTCGATGCCCGACTTTGGTGCATAATTTCATGCTTTTGTCATTTTTTTTGCAACATAAAATTAAATTTTAGTTTAGTTAATGATAATCAGAATTTTCACGGTGATTTAATGCTCGAAGTAAAAAATTTTGCAATGCAGACGCTATGGTCAATACAAATATGCTTATACAAAATTATATTCAAAGTTTATTGTACGATAAATGGAAAACATAAAATAGTAAAGTTTCTGTCTATGTACCGTGCAAATATAAGCTCACGCACATTAACATGTACAACAATGTTCGATTAAAATTTATACGTATAAATTACTGTATGTACATCATATGAAGAAAAAAAGCTCCAAGCAGGAGTTTCCTTGAAGATAAAGTTTTTACGTCCACTTTTGGAAAGGAAATTTTTATTTTTCACTTTTCGTTTGAAATGTAGACATTTTTATAAATACAAACTAAATAAAGTTTGGTATAAATCTCAAAAAGTCATGTATCATCTTTTCAATTTATTTTCATTTTGGGATGGTAAATGTTTTTTTTTTTTTTACATCAACTTTAACAATGCACATAAAAAAAATCATCAAAACTATTGTTTTCTCAGTACGAAATAAATTGAAAAACTGAACAATTGTGTCATACCTCGCTCAACGTAAGTTCACAAATTTTTCTTCATTTTTGAAGCCACGGAGTAAAATAGTACATTAGTGACCCTATATATTATAGGGATTTTTTTACCTTTTAACGTTTACTGCTTTTTCTCAGTAGGAAGCATAGAGTTCGCACCTGGTGCTTACCCTGGGTACATGATGGGGCGACATGACGAAAATTATCGAATGGCTTACGCATGTCGATTACTTACAGTTTACAAACACATGTGTACACTTTTATACATGTATAATATTATAGTGTACTAAATTCACACTTACCGTCACACTCGCGCGCGCACATAAAACATACACATTCACAAAGAGTAACGAGCTCTTTTGCGATATAAAATCAATTAATAGTGAAACCATCATCGCTGGTTAACTAAAAACTATATATATATATNTGTTGAATTTACTTTGGGGTTTTTGACGCGAGAAGGTAAAAACAATGGCTCGCAGTGCACGGACGAAGCTTCATTTTGATTTGATAAGGGAAAAAAGCAATGTAAACTGCTTGAAAATAGAAGAAAAAAAAAAGAAAAAAAAAAAAAAAGACTTTTCTCATAGCAATAATTACGTTACAACTAATGCACTACACAGTCATCATATAACATGTACTTATATTATATACTTATGGTATATCCGTATAGTATCGTTTTCGGTTGAAAAACGCTCGATTTTTTTTAATGTATACAGTACACAATTGTGCAAGTGCACCATGTCCGTGACGTTATACACACATACCACAGGGCAAATAAGACAACGAGAGCCCGGTAAAACAACAACTTTTATGATAGCAAGCTCGACACGAAAAATTGAAAAACCCATAGCCTGTATGATTAACAAGTATATAATATATACACGCGATTCAAACAACAGCCACGAGGTGGGAGAAGAAAGAAAGGAGCGCTCAAGCGATCGAGCAGCCGTTGTTGTGGGGATACTTGTTTTTGGCACCAGGTTTGGGCAGCGCGAAACCCGGGCAGCAGTGGTCCTCCCTCACCTGGACGACCTGCTGGGCGCAGCTCTCGGACGAGTCGCTCCCTGCCGAGGACGAGGCCCGCTGCTTCGGGCCCTCCAGCCCCGGGTGCTGGTATATCGAGGCTTCGTGCACGGGGGCCGACTGCTCGTACGGCTTGGTTTGGCGCGACGCGCCCTCCCGGTGGTGCCGGAAGTGCTCCGTGTCCGAGACCAGCGTGCCCAGGAGTTGGTCCGACGGCTGCGGGTAACCCAGCGTGGACACTGCCCCCAGGGAGTTTGAGCGCAACTCTGTACCCCACACGCAACGGTATGTGATGAAAAAACGTTTGAGCATATCGTTGTTATTATACTGTGAGCTATTGAGATATTGACCTTTGACGGAGAGGCTCTTGGTGGGTGAGTTGGCGACGGATCTGCGAGCGACGTCCTGGAAGGTGATGGGTGAGTAGACGGGCCGCTCGTCGGCGCAGGTCTGAGGTGGCGTCGGGGAAGTCGGGAGTCGGGCGATGAGGCGAGCCGAGGGAGAGTGGCACGTTCGCACGGGGGATGACAGGGTGGACGAGGGTAGGGCCGGGTTGGTCGGGTAGGCCGTGGAGACGGGGGTCTCGATGAGGCAGGGGATGCGGGTGAGGGAGTTGCGCGGCGTTATCGCGTGCCACTGGGGCGGCTGGGCTATCGTGATGTTTTTCGTCGACGCCGAGCGGACCTCGCGCTTCTCCAGCCAGTAGGTCTTCATCGTGCCTAGATGTGCGCACACATAAATTGGTAACAATCATATGTATACATAATATGTGGCAATGGAAAAAGGAATTTGTTAAAATATCGAAAATGCCCTTCATTTTGCGAGTAAAACTATCAATGCACTGAGAAAAAGAAATATAGTAAAAGTTACTGCGTCGTAGTCTCGAGGCTTTTTACCATTTGAACAATAATTTTTTGCTGCTCAGAAGTGATTTTTACTGCTTATACAATAGAAATTACTGCCCAGCAATGAAATGGTAAATATGTGGTTGCCAAAAGTAAAAATAATCCTAGATAGCGAAATGACATCAAATTACTATTGTGGCACAGTAATTTTTATTATTTTTTTTATTCCATTGGCGTTGATTTCGACACAGCAGTTCAGAGCACCGACTCTACATTGTTTCGACAGTCAATCCCCTTTGGATTTTCATTTTTGCTGCTGTGTGATTGGCTGGGACCAACAGTCATTGCACTGAGCTGTCGTCGAAATCAACGTCACTGGAATGAACTTTACTACAAAGTTAAAGTGCACCGTCAATGTTTTGGTCGCCCCAATACCCCATCATGTAAGGTGTATGTATATAAGGAATTCTACGAATAATCTGCCGTTTTCCGGAGTCATAAAATGAGGTAAAAATGTAGGTAAGCACACCTCTGGAAATATTTTTTTTGTCCCAGGTATTCCTCAGCAAAAAAAAAAATTATATAATCATAATTAAATATGATCGGTGTCAAAAGGTAGAAACAGAATAAACTTGAAAATTGGAAAATACTATAAAATTCGTGAAATTATATTAAGTCCTATCAAGTTTTAGAATGTCAGTTAGTTTGATTTTCTTTGTTTAAGCGACAAACACCGACTTTTTGGGATAGAGTTGTGGTACAAAAAAGTAAAAAAAATCGTGAAATTTGATTTAATATTCAGCATCGAAAAACGAAAAGTGTGAAAAAAAAAAAGTGTGTACCAGACACTGGATAGCTTGTTCAAAGTATTTTTCTTGCCCCGAGTAACACCTGGGACAAAAAAAAAACGTACTTCCAGAGGTGTGGTGGCTTTTTCGTAGGATTCCTCGTATAAAATGCTAACGGTGTGCGCACCTTTGCCCTTAACTTGTATCTCGCCGCGTTCGATGACCCGGTAAGACGGCGAGAGCAGTTCCTTGGTCGACTGGGATATGTGTATCTGCATGGCCTCGCTGGTGGCCTCCATCCTCGAGGCCACGTTGACCGAGTCGCCAAAGAGACAGTAGCGCGGCATCTTGAGGCCCACGATGCCCGCGACCACGGCCCCGCTGTGGATCCCGATGCGTATCTGCAGGTGCTGCCCGGTCGAGCGGTCCGTCAGGTCGGTTATCGCCTCGAGCATGTCCAGGGCCATGTCGCACACCCGGTCGGCGTGGTCCCTCTGCTTCACCGGGGCCCCCGACACCACCATGTACGCGTCGCCTATCGTCTCCACCTATGTGCCAACCGACAATCTTGGGTAACTCCGATCTCGTCGGCTTACGGCTGTGTATAACCCACCTTGTACACGTGGTTGCGCTCGGTGAGGGTGTCGAACAGGGAGTACATGCCGTTGAGCATCGACACGACCTCCATCGGCGTGATCCGGCTGCATATCTCCGTGAAGGTGACCACGTCCGAGAAGAGGATCGAGACGCTGTTGAACATCTGTCGGCAAGTTTTTTTTTTTGTTTTGTTTTGTTTACAAGTTTATTAAGATGAAAAAACAAGAAAAAGAACTACCTCGCACGTGTCTATCGGGCTCTCGCCGTTTCTCAATCTGTCGGCCACTTGCTTCGGTATCATCTGGTAGAGCAGCTCGTCGGTGCGCTTCATCTCCTCGTCGAGTTTCCGCATCGACTCTTCCAGCTTTTTGCTCTTCAGCTGTTCCTGGTCCAACGCGAGTTTGAGCTCGACGGATTGTTGCGTGCCGGCGAGCATCAGATCCCTAAAACGAACGCCGTCTCGTCAAGCACATATTACATCGTGCATCTCTGGTCAATTCAATCCCAACTTTGAATTAATTTCGTGGACGATTAATCAAAGGCATATGTGTATATACTCGTACTATTGAAAGTACTGTCGATTTTTTTACGACTCCACCAGTCCAAGTACGTAGATGAACACCAATCAAAAGGGCTTTCGAGCACAATTCGTACATTAAATTTTTTTTCATTGGTTTCAAAATAATTGTAACTTTGTTTATGCTTGGCAATCGATCAATACTGAAAATTCAGTTTTAATAGCCCCTATTTTGTTTGCTTTTTATATTTTATTTCATACTTTTTTAATCCCTTTTTTATATGTATATTTTAGTTTGTTTATTCAGTTTGTATATTTTTTTAGTTTTTCATTCAACATTTAATGTTGTACGTGAAATCGAGCTTCATTAATGAGTAAATTTAACTTTATACGTGTAGATGTGTTGCTCCAGTAAACTGTACCAATTTATTGTGTATTTTTAGTAAATGGGCCTCGGGCCCGTTGATTAAACAAAATAAATGATAAATGATGAAAAAAAAAAAAAAAAAAAAAAAAAAAACAAGGGTAAAGTATAGACTCACCGGCTGAAATCGTGCAACGATAGGTCGTTTATGTACAGTCCCGCGCCGATCAGCGCATTCAAATCGGGCATCACCGGTGTACCGAGGTACATCATCATCTTCCAGTCGTCCATGTATATCATCTGACCTGCACCCACACACACACACACACAGAGACACATGTGCATTTACCGTACAATGATGCGATGGAGACAAATGGGTCGATCTTACCTTTAAGTCTGAGGGCTCGATCTTCCTGGTTGTCGAGATCGCTGCCCAAGGGAATGTCGTCGCGGCGACGGTCGCTCGGCCTCTCGGCAAGCACCGGCTCGACCGACAGCAGCTCGAATATGTTGTTCGTTCGGTTTAAAATCTGCGTGGTGACGATTTTTTCCAAATGATAACGTATATGTTAACTTGCGCCCAACCGATCTTTTAAATAATACAACAACAACCCCTACCGATTGAAACTTGAAGGCTATGAGGGGTCGGACCAGATCGAAGCGGTGGGTGATTTTTTTCCCCACGAGATCGGACAGTATGACCATGAGGGAGTTGCCGATGCTTCGTACGACCATGTCGGGGCTGTGAAAAAATAAATTTAAAAAAAGTCCTTATATCAATAAATGTGCGTCCGACGATTGACTAAATGCCAACGGAGCTAAAATCGTGTGACTTTGGAGCAAAAATAAAGCAAAGCCAATATTTTTAGCTCACCCTTCCCTATGATGTGTCAGTAGGTAATATAAACTGGGGTGGGCAACAAATATAACTTTTATCTCTCTCTCTCTCCGTAAATATCCGTTTTTTCGGCTAATTTCTCCCTTCCCTGAGATATTATCGCGCGGATACAAAAATAACGACGCGCTATTTCGGCCCTCGTCTTTCCCTTTTAAATTTTATACTTTTTCCCTCACCTCGATCATACTATACCATGTATGTTATGACTATACAGTAAGCTTGTGCGATACCCACTTCGAGACGAGACGACGCCTGCCCAAGTCTCGTCTCGTTTCGAAAAAATCCCGAGACCCTAGAGACTTTTTTTGAGTCTCGAAAATATTTTAAAATTTTCTTGACGTTTTCGAGAGTCGTTGGGGTGTTAAAAAGTCCCTACTTTGGTCACGCGTGTGTGTATTGAATGCACAAAAGCTCTTACGTAGCAGAAAAGGGTTGAAGAGACTAAATGTTTATTTTTTCAAGACTTCGAGACGAGACTTTTAGAAAAAAATTTACACGTACATTCGGAGCAGGATGCTTTATGCAGATCTGTACATGTAATGTGCGAGGTGACTGGTGAAAAATGCACTGAGAGGAAAATACAATAAAAATTACTGTGCTAGAATGGAAATCTAGTACTAGAGACTTTTTACTATTTAAACAATGATTTTTATCGTTTGGAACAATAATTTTTGTTGTCCAGCACAGTAATGTTTTATTGAATTGTTCTCTCTGTGGTGTTGTTATTTGTCGAGCCGAGAGAAAAATGAGCTCACCCAAAGACGATGCAAAAGGGAAAAATCTCAAAGAGAACGGACGCGTTGATGGGCAGGTGTTTCTCCTCGCGCGTCATGGTGAGGGAGGCCAGGGTGAAGGCCCGATTGTCGAAGGTCAGCTGGAAGGTCACGTGCACCGTGTCGAAGAGTATTTCCTCGCGCACGAGCTCGATCTTGAGATCCTTGTGGTAAAAGTGACGGGCCACCTCGCGGATCTGGCCCATCGTGTAGTAAACGAAGCCCCGGCGTTTGCTTCTGTAATGCAGAGTCAGTCCTACGACGATATCGAGAATCATTTTCACCGACTTGCATCATCATCGTGAGTTTGTTATGCTTATTGGGTTACGTGCACTTGTACACACATTTTTACATATATATATATAAGAGCAAGTGTTGCAAGCACAATTTGCCCACGACAGGGGCATCGGTCCTTTAAATCCTTCGGGGACAAAAAAAGGCCATTTCTTTTTTTAACTTCATTCGAAAAGACAAACTATGAGATACCCCCTTCATTGGCTACACAAGTGGGTATAGAAACATTGGGCATGCATTATGAATGATTAATAGAGGTATACGGTTAAATGGGGCATCGATCCCACTCAAGCTCTCATGCATATTACAATATGTGCCTTCACAATTAGAGAATCGATTTTATAGGTATTTTGCTTGTCAATAAATGTAAAGAACTGATTAATGATGCACAAAGGAAAAAACGATTTTTTTTTTTTTTTTTTTTTTAATGTGTACGTATGTGTACGTTGCGTTAGTTCGCCGAAAAGGAGTAGAGAAGAAATAAGAAAAAACAAGCGGCTCAATTCATGAAAAACCAGCACACGGACCACCAGAGCAAAAAGTGCGATTTAAATGGAAGAAATTTATTTTTAGACCATTTTTATATGGTTTAACATCATAAATCCAAACGAGTTTTACATCATTTGTACTTTTAAATATAAAAGTAACGAAATCATATAGTATTCTAACAGTAAATATTAAATTTTTAATGAATAAATTACATAGTAAGTAACAATTATTCGAACATTTTATCTAACGATTTTCGTTGTTGCCTGTGTCAGAATAATACTACAGATGAGAAAAGCAAACACAAAAAAGTGTTTTTTAAAAAATAACAATATCCATATGTAAGTTTTGTATTTCACATTTTGTTCGCAAGTGAAATGTAAAAAAAGTTATATTTTTCGACTGTCTATATCCGATTTTCTGATTCAAAGTCTTATGACAACATGGACGAAAATGGTTAGTAAAAAAGAGCTCATTTCCATAAGATCTACAACTTGTATTTTTTATATTTTGTCTGCACAAACGTAATGCACAGGAAAGTTATAGAATCTACAAAAAATGAGTTTTTTGCCCTTTTCAAACGATTTTTACCATTCATAGAATTAAGACAGTGGTATACAGAAATACTTACCGAACAAAAAACTTTTTTAAAACTATGTTGTAGAATTCGAACTTCTTTTATTCACACGCAAAAAACGATTTTTTTCGCTATTTTTGTACCTATTTCGTACTATACAGACATCTGTATTGCATGACAGAGTAAAATGTATAGTTCAAAAAAGATTTTTTTTTTTCTTTTTTTTTTAAGATCTACAAATTTATCGTTCAACGCAAACGTGTAAAATTGAAGCGTCAAAAGTCATAGCTAAAAACCTGCTGTATTATCTCCTTTGAAGCACTGCAGTAAAACTGTTTGCGATTTTTTTCTTTTAACTACACTTGTCCAAATCCAAACAATCAGCTTCGATTTTGAAGGCAAACTTGTGTACAAAATCGAGGCTCAATCGGATAACAATAACTTGAGGTAATCAAAAACAATTACATGATCACGTGTATACATTGTATAACATCTATACACGTACAGCGTAGGACATACGCAGAACACCTTTGGTTTTATGTAAAAAATAGACAAAATTTATAAGTGGTTACACTTTTTGCTCTGACAAAAATATAAGGCAGTCGCATGCATTGGTCGGGATGGCGGTAAAAATACAGTGTAGGCCGCGTATACTGACCTTGTCGGGTTTCGTTCTCGCAGATGAAGGACGGGGCGCGCATCCTGGGGTACGAGAACTTCAGGTACTCGTGCAAGTTGTCGAGGCCGTTGAGAAAGTCCCGCACGTGACGTCCGAGCACCGAGAGGACCCGGTCGTAGCCGTACTGGCCCACAAAGCTCACAAAGTGCACGCCCATCTGGTCGAAGAATTCGCGCTCCGTTATACCCAGGACCTTTGAATTACAACAATTTTATTCGTGTTGACAATATTTACAAACTTTTTTTTTTTTTCCTTGTAAAATCAATATGAAAAAAAATTATCGAGCTATGATGTTTTTGCCTAACGGTTAAACTCCATTGCTCTTGGTAAAATATCCTGTTGAGATTTATTTATTTATTTTTTTTTTTTTTTATCATTGTTTGCACTGAAAAATTTTCTTTCTTTTTTTTTTTTCAATTACATTCCATAGATCATTTATCAAGTTTTTTTTCCATTTGTGGATGAAAGAAAAAAGACTAGTATTGAATATTTTTTGCTGTTCCACAGGTACATACGTTTGAAAACTAGTTTCTTCGTATTTCAGCGCAAAATTATTGTTACCATGCGCTTATGAGTGACATCAAAAGTTTGACCCTTCCTCGTTTGTCGAAAAAAATTTTTCCTAGATCAGTGTATATTTATTCAGATAAAGTAATCTGTCAATAAAAATCGTGCGCAAGTAAAAATGTGCACTTGTATGTATTGAAAACGCACTTTCGATTGTCGGATATCGGTATAGTGGCCCCATTACCATGGACATCACGTATTTCGATCCCAATTGCGTCGCGAATACTCAATGATGATACTTATACTTAGAATAAACAGCGTTACGCTCGTTTACTGTAAACCATAATGATGTGTGTACGCACACATGTATATACCTATAGTACATGGTAGCCGGTCAACCAATCACAAGTTCAAATAGACGCACGTATTTTAATTCTCAAATATTTCGGATTCAGCTCTCATGGGAGGGAAAAATAATCTAAAAATACAACTTGCCATGGATAAATTATTGTACATGTATACGTGTGTATGTTATCACCAAAGGGTATCACTGTACTTTTTGAGAATGCAAATGTCAAATTCAGTAATTTATGGAGAAAAAATTGGTAAAGCAAATCTAGATCCATTCAACATATAGGAATCACATACAAAGAGCCACGGTGACTTTTCTATGTTGTTCACAACGGAAAAAAGATACCAACTCTCTTATTTTGCCGAAAACGCAAAAACTGAATTCTTGATAGATTGGCGTATCAAAAATACTATTCAAGTGGATGTTTTGTTGTCAATTTTGTAAAAACTGTAGTAAACCAACGTTAATCAATTGTATTGTAAAACGTTGCGTGGCCATCGGACTGATCTTTTGATTTGGCACCGCGACAAACTCTTAAACGAAATAATCTCGACCACGTACCAAACTTTTTTTTTTTTTTCTCTCGAATTAATTCTCAAGGGTATCACCTCAACAGCCCATGTACAAGTGCAGGGCTGCTCCATTTTTTATGAAATGGAACACAATAAGTACGCGGTGCACTAAACTTTCACGTGTACCTATATTACCATAGAAAAAGAAAACCGGGATTGACGAGGTATAAGGGAGGAAAAAAAGTTCAGCGCGTTACTCCCGGTAAAACCTGCCGATCATCCACCGCAGCTGCAGAGCGATTGTCGATGTCGCGACAATTCCTTTGAATGGATCCGATAGTGGTACTCTTTATAAAAGAAAAAAAACCCACAGTATATAGTATTACCTGTATAGCCTTGTTGGCCAGCCGGGGTATCAGGTTCTCCGAGTAGACCTGGTGGACGCTGAAACTGGGCTGATCGACGGCGGCCTGTCGCCTGATTTCCTCCCACCGATCCTCGCCGTACGACTGCCGAATGAACTCGGACATGTTCTCCAGTATGAGTCCGTACATGTTGCCGACCTGTCTTCCCTCTATCCGCGTTTATGCCCGTCTCTTCTCAACTCCCATCGGCGATTCCCAACGATCGAGCCGATTTTTGTCCCGATGCCGATCGGTGGGCGTCCTCACACGACGCAGTGCGAGATGAGCCCGTGCACCGGTATATCCTCGTCGTCACCGTCACCAACACCAACAACACTGTATATATACCTACCACAGCGACCAAAGCGGCCTTTCGCAACCGGTCGTCGCGATCGGTACGAGCCTCGCGGGGGTCAGAGGTCGCGCGAGCGCGCGAGTCCACTACGGTCTGGCATTGCTCCTGGCCGATGCGCACCGCTTACCAAAGCTCCTTTTCTCTCCCTCCGCTGCTGCCCGTGGCTCCTTGCGCCTGTACAGATATATGCTCGTTGAGATCGTTAATCGAGCAAAGAGCGCCGCGCGAGGGGGGGGGGAAAGGACTATATATCGCGGCTCATCACCGGGGGTCGGTGAGTTTATTATTAGCTGGCTGGCTGCTCGGAAATTTTGGTCAGGTAGCGCCGCGTCCGCTCAATCGTGTGTTGTGCTTCTATGTGCAACGAGACCATGTATATAAAGCAAAACAATGTAACTATACCCTAGGCCCGCACGCGTGTTATACATACCGAGACTATGCATGTATTGTAATAAAATTATTACACGTGTATATTATATGTGTACCGATTCATGTGAGGTACGTCTGGCGCGCAAGCAAAATGGGGGAAAAATTTGCAATCTCGTATAATATACGAGTGTAGAATGGTAATTCCAGTCGTCGCCCTGGACGCGTGCACATTCGGTCGTACACTTCGATCGCCCGCTAAGGGGTCGATTTTTCGATGAAACGGTCCACGATGCGCGAATCGGTGATAATCGCACGTATATATGCATAATACTTCTTCCAGCTCATTCGCCGGCGCGTCTATTTTCGGCGCCGCTCGTATGGTCGCGCGGATTCGCGTCGCAAGAAAAATACAATAACTCAAAATAAGCGACGCGTGGCGCGCACATTTTCGTGTATATAAGGGGGAGGGGGGTTACCAAAGACGGGGTCTCTCTCTTTCTCTACTTTTAATAAGCGCGTATTGATTTTGCGCTGAATTTTCCCTATTTAATATAGTCGGCGGCCGCGTGTGTAGTGCCGTCCAAAAGGAGCCGGGGACACGCGACGGCCTATATATATATATATATGTATATATGTGTATAATATGATATTCCAGCGACTCCCATCCGTGCAAAGACTCGTATGTTATATCTGTGTACAACATTGACATCATACGTATCCAACATAGTCGTCAAACTCGTGTGCAGAGCAGCCGGAGCTATTGTCGTGCTCGGAATCGTTAAGCAAGCGACGATTTTTGAGATCGGTTCCCGGTCTCCTGAGGACTCCCTGGGGACAACTCGCGCGCGTCTCTCACTTATACTATACAATACGCATTATACCCAAGCTTTTACCAATTATTGCACGATTTCCACCCCCCCCCCCCACCAGCCACTATATTATGTTGTATTTTTAGTATAGGTGTACCTGTGACATTGTTGTTGGTGCTTTTGTAATGAAATATTGTATGTATGTCATATGGATGGAGATAACGACATAACGAGCGCGAGGGAGATCGGACGCGCTGATAAACCGAGGAAGAACAAAAAAAAACGAAAAAAAAAAAAAAAAAAAAAAAAAGAGTCGCGCGAGCGTCTGCAGTTTTATAGCCGAGCTGGGTGAGTTCAACTGTGTATAATGTATGCGCTCGGACATGTAGAGCTCCTACTTTGATTTGATTTTCATTTGGATCGTGAGTTTTTAGAATTTTTCTACACATTGTATATCTGTATCCTTATTCCCGTTTAATCGGTATACTTTATTGTGGTTCCATAATCTGCGGTTGCCGATCGGGTAGTTTGATATTAGTTGTTATTTCGTGATTGAGTGTGTGGTTGATCATCTGAGAAATTTTTCACGTCACTAATGATTTTGACATTTTTTTTAGAGGTTGTAGAGGAATATTGATGGTTGATGTAACGTATGAAAATATCTTTGTTTTTTTTTTTTTTTTTTTTTTTTTCTATTGTAGAGCTTTGAAAATCAGAAAAAACGCATTTTCCGAAAATTGAGGAATTTTTCACTCGAAAACTAAAGGGGTTCAGGAATAATCGTCCCAATTAGCTTTTTGTTCCGAATGTGCCAAAGAAACTGAAAATATTTATTTTTGGACCAAAAGAGCAGCTTTGTCTAATTTGTTAAAAAAAAAAAAATACTTGTTCCAAACAAACAGTGACCAGATAAATAGTGTAAAGATTAAAAAAGAGCAGGGCTCTGCACCCAAATTCTACGTGATTTAACTTGATTTTTTTACTATACTTATTATAAAATTATTATATACATTTTTAATCCCGATTCTTTCTGATCGCCCAAATGTCCCAAGTCATTTTTATATCGTCGAGTCGGCAACGGCCAAAGTTCTTGTCATCGCAAAACTACAATACGTACACGCGTATACTTACATTAAATTATCGAACGTAAAATGTTGCGCACAAAACGAGAACACAAGTAAATAAAAAAAAAAAAAAAT